TGCTGCTGACTTTGAGAAATACAGAAGCCACAGGTCAAGATACAGCCAGACTAGTTGTCGTTTATTCCATCTGTCTCATCTGTCAAATACTCCTTCCTCTCTCAATACCAGCACTGAGCTTTGAGAACTGTAAAACAACTGTCAGTCACAGCTTTGTGGTAACTTCATATGTTAGAGGTTTAGAATACTTCTTTAGTCTGTTAGCTTTTATGCTTAATAAACAATCTCATTCTGCTTTTTTTTTTTTTTCTTGTTAAACACAAAATGTGTGTTACCAGAAAACTGAGCCCATGTTAATGGCACTGCAGGAGCTCAAGAACATTTGCAGAACAGTATCTGCAAGTCAATTTCTTATGTACGTTTCTGATTTTAGTGAATCTGTTTCCAGCAGCCATTTTCAAATTGAAATAAGTTCTAACCGTTTGTCTTTATGCAAGCCAAAAACTTTTTAGTTTACGGTTTGCAAAGCTCCATTAATGGTTTGCTTGTGACCATCGTGCCACTTCAGTACAGTAAGCAGGTGGAATGTTGGTGTGATACATCTTCACTGTTTTTCACAGTTCCATGGGAGAGACAAAGTATTTCGTATTAATGTAGAGAACTGAGAGTTAAATTCTGTGGTATGCACTAGGATTAAATATTTGCTGTGTATCTATTTTGTGGAGTACCCTGGGGAATATTCTAAAGACACTTTTAAAATTGTATTGACTCTAGATCTATAAGTAGCTTTAAAAGCGTGACCTGTGTTTGTGGTTTTTCGGTTGTGGTTTGTTGTTTTTTTTTTACTATCAATAGATAACAGCAAAAGACCTATGGTTTGGTCCTGAACAAAATCGTTTGAAGAGGAGGGAAAAAATATTAATATTAGCTTTTATTTTTTTTGCCTTTTTTTTAGCAGTTCAAGTAGCAATTCCAGCAGCAGGAAGGAGGAGGGTAGTGCTCCCTCAAATTCCTTCATCCCTTCTTTTCCTCGGGCTCCAAGCACTTCGGATTCTGTACGAGTGAAATGTAGAGAAATGCTCTCTGCTGCTCTAAGAACAGGAGGTGAGCTTTGTAGACTGTTTTTCAGGTTGAACTATTTCCTTCTTCTCTGCTTTCATTCTGCTCCATTCTGTTTTTCTTCTGCCCCATAGGGTGAAATAAATCCTGTTTATGCTCCTTTCTGTATATACCCATAGGCCAATTCCCTCAATGAGTAACCATGACAGCATGGGAATGTATTGAAATACTTTTTTGTTGCTGATGATCCAGGACATTTTGTGGCTTCTATTCATCTGATCTTGCCTACAGTGGAACTTCTTTTCAGGAAAGTTTTTGCTTCCTTGATGCCTCATTTAAACCCTTTTGTGGTCTTACCTCTGACTGAGAGTGCCACTACATACATATCTGCCTTTCTTACACCAGAGGTTGTGTGGACTTTCAGAGTCTGGTGTTTGAAGGCTGCCCTTCTGTTTTGATTTAATCTTGGAGTTTCCCTGAGAGGTTTGTAGTAATAGAGTCTTGTGTCTGTCTACCCTCATGCCTTTTGAGCATCTGAATTCCTTGACTTTTTTTTTACCCCTCCTCATGTATACCTGGGTGTCTTTAAACTGACAAAGTTTAAAACAAGCAAAAGAAGTAAAACTTGTGAGTTCAAATGAGAACAGTTTAATAACTAAAATAAAATATAATAAGAGCAATAACTAAATATAATAATATTGAAAAGTAATATAACAAAAAGAGATAAATAAAACCCAAGAAAAGGCAAGTAATGCACAAATGCCTGAGCAGTGATCCTCCCCCACTGCAGCCAACTCCTCCCAGTTTATGAAGTGAGCATGAGGTTCTGTGGTGTCTAATACCCCTTTGGCTGGTTCAGGTCATCTGTCCTGGCCATGTTTCCTCACAACTTCCTGTGCACCTGCAAACATGGGAAGCTGTAAAGTCCTTGATTTCCTAGCAACAACTGAAAATGTCAATATATTATCAACATTCTTCTTGTACTGAATCCAAACGGTGGCATTAGCTACAAAGAAGGAGAATTAGCTCTATGCTGGCTAGCAGGACACTAGATAAGGAAGAAACTAAAAGTTGGACTCCACAAAATTATGTGAGTTGTTTTTTCTCTTGTGGGTCCTTTTCTTCTACCAGAGTTTATGACCCAGCTCCTGTTCCTCTGCTCCTGTTCCTCTGGCCCAGCGTAAGCTGACTTGTGAATCATCCATTTTTACCCTCTTCACTCTTTTATTCCTTCTGGTAATTCAAATAAATTCACATACAGACAACAATCAAAGCTGATGAAAGATCATGATTTTTGTGGTCCTCTGGATATGTAGTTCATAGACTTCTGGAATAATTAGTGACCAGGAAGTTGTATATAGTATCTTAGTATTCTTAATTCTATGTAGTCTTAATTTCAGCTAGTTTTCAAAGAGCTCTTTTTGCTATGTTAATTTCTACAGCACATATAAATTGATCATCCATGGGTTGAATGCCAGTCTCAAAAAAATAAAGTTATTTTCTGGTTCTATGGTTTTCTGTATGAGACCAAGAAGAAGTGGTGTTTGGATTACTCATTGAAATACACCCATGTTAAAATGAGAAGGAGGAAAACACATGCTGAATCTTAAGCTTGTCTTAAGCTATCTTGGAAAGTCAGCTGTCTCTTATGAGTAAAGATTTTGGTCAGAATCAGTAAACAGTTGTCTTGAGACATTTTAGGTCAAGTGTTGCATTGTCTTCAAGATTGCTGTGTTTATTTCTTCTTTTTTACATGTTTTATGGCGCATCTCTGCTTTGCATTTTTTAAAAATAGCTAATAGTACTGTTTCTGTTATTTAATTACTGTGTTTCTAATGAAATTTCTCTTGCGGGCATACAAAACATTAATTACTTTTGCTTATACTTGTTGTGTGGACTGAAAGAATTGATGAAACACAATACAGAAAGTTTTCTTCTTGTGCTAGTGTATTCTATACACAGATATGGGTGATGGCTATTTGCCAAGCCTGTTAGAATATTTAAAATTTTTCTGTATAGCAGAGCTTTTTGTTACTATTTGTGCTTGCCACTAGGTGTCAGAGTTTTTGTTAAAGAGTTAGGGTGGTTGTTCTTTAAACTTCAGTTGTTCTTCATTTCACTTTCTTTTGGTTTTCCAAGCAAGAAGTTAACCAAGTTTGGAAAGGGATAAGTATGCAGTAAATCAAACTTTTCTTCACAAAAGGAAAACTCATTGTAGCTGTTTTGTAATTTTCATTTCAAAGGGCCTCTCAGGGGATATAGAACACCGAGTTTGTCAGGTTGATAATATTTTAATATTTGCTTTCTTCAGATGATTACATTGCTATTGGTGCTGATGAGGAAGAGCTGGGTTCTCAGATTGAAGAAGATATCCTTTGTCGTACGTCTGTGTGCTCTTGAACAAGGGTGTTTTCTAAAAGCATTGATAATCTTAAAACTAATTCAAACTGTATATTGACTGGTTTTAATTTCATTTAAAACAAAAAAAAAAGGAAATGCTTTCAACACATCAGTTCGGGAATTTAGTGTCTAAAAAATGAACACAGCATAAATTATTTGCCTTAAAACATGTAGGAATGTGTAGGTGAGTGTGCAGGGTTTGGGTTATTTTTTTTCAGTTCAGTGTACTTTCCTTGCAGCACCAATATTACACCTTACTGAAACATTCTGACATAAAATGCTAGGTTCTTCTATGTTAGTTTTAAATATTTTCTTGTTGACAGTTTTCATGTTTTTCTCATTTCTTTGTTTTCTACATGTTTGTTTCTAAACATGTTTGGAATTTTCAAATGGTTGTTCTGATAGCAATGTTGGAATAGTTAGAAAACAGAGATCTGGGCTTTTTATTTTAGGGGTTTTTTTTTGGTGTGTATGTATTCTTAAACACAGAAATTGTCCAAGCTTTATGATTCTAACTTGCTGATATCCTTTGGCAATTTCAGTCAGCCACTGTTCCTGTTAAGGAATTTAATGCTTCTGTTGCAAATCACTCTGTTTTACTTGCTAATGTTTTGTTCCTTAAATCCAAAGTACCTATTTTTCAAGAATTAAAAAACACGGATATGAAATACAAAAATAGGGTACGAAGTAGAATAGCGAATCTCAAAGATGCAAAGAATCCGAACCTAAGGAAAAATGTGTTATGTGGGAACATTCCTCCTGACAAGTTTGCCAAAATGACAGCAGAGGTAAGTAGAGCATGGGTTTTGAACTATTTCCCTCTTGAATTTACATCCTAGCCTGTGTTTGTTAGCCATCAAAGCAATGTAAGCTGCCCATGCTTTTGAAAAACTACGGCTTGTTTGTGGCTTGCACAGTGTGATTACAGGGCTGTGCTGGGCAGAGGGAATGAAAGTGATGTCTGTTAATGATTCCTGAATACCTGATTTTGTCTAAGTCAGACGGCAGGTAAGCTGTTGTGTGTGAATTTTATGAAACACGGTGTGTTGTGCTGTTTTTAAGAGGCCTTGTGATATATCAGCGGTAGTTTCAGTTCAGGAAGATGTCAGTATTGTCTGGCTAGTGACTCCAAGCTGCTTACCCATTCACCTTCCATGTGAGAGTTAATTAGCCTGTCCTGCCATTTGTTTTTCAAATGCTGATCTCTGCTGTTACTCTCCTATGCAAGGTAGGGCACAGTGGTTTTAAAGATCAGTCCCTTTCCTGTTGGATTTTTAAGTGTTATTTAAAGCTTATCTCAAATTTGACAAAATACCTCAACGAATTTTGAAGGAAACTCTCAATAAATAGAAAAAGCCATAAATGATGAGGGAAAGAAGCTAGGAGAATTGCCCTTTAAATCATATTAAATTTATATTAACAAACTAAGATTTTGGACAGTTGAATAGAAATTCATGTTCAGATGCTTGCTGTCTTTACAAATCAAAATAAATCTAAGAAGTCAAATGAAAAATTAGACTTTTATGGGAGAGAAAAGCACAGTTAACATCAGGTTTCAGTTTTGTAGTTCTGCTTGTATGTGTTAGATTTTTACCTCCCTAAATCAGGTATAAAGGAGTATAGTGAAGACTGAAAGAAATTAAATGTACCATCAAGTAATGAAAATCATTATTAGCTTTATTCTAAAGGGAAGATTTTTGGGTTTTTTTATTTTTTTCTTTCTATAGCTTCCGGTAAAGGTCAGGACAAACAGACTGATAAAGGAATGTATAAAACAAAGTGGATTGTATCTTAAATACATATTTTGAGTTTATGTTGTTCTACCTGTGTGTATGTATATATGCACAAACATAGATTTTGTTCTGTCCAGTGCTCATTCTTTGTTTTAATTAATGCTTTGAATTAGAACTTTAATGACTGGAAAAAAAAAGTATGAAGACTACTTCAAAAGTGAAACAGCATTAATACAAAATTTGTGTTCGACATCTACATGGGCTGTGGAGTAAAACTTTGCTGAAGGAAAATGGAACAACTTGTTTTTGCTGTGCACACTTGATTGCTATACATTGTGGGGGGTCCTGCCCACTTGAGCTTTTTTAAAGAAAATCTGTGAATCGGAGCTCTTTGGTTAGTGCTTTGAGACCAAGTCTAACTGCCTTCTGGTAACATAATGGTAAATTATGGCCATGCTGTCTTTCTCCTTCCAAATATGATAATAGTCAAAGTATTGTAAATTTCTCCTATAGTAATCTTTTGTAGGTCTTTTGTAGGATTAATTATGCAAGCATTTAACCTAGCAAGAGGATCCTTTTCTTTCTCTCTTGAGGCGTTAAAAGTCCTCTTCTACCTTGTCTTTGTATTACATTTCTGAACTTCAGAAATGCATTTGCATGAATATGTTTCCAGGTGTTTGATATTGTAATGTTTACTTTTTTCCCCCAACTTCATAAAAAAACCCACAACAAACAAACAAGAAAAAATCCCAAAACATTTTAAACTTTTTTGTAGTTTCTGTGCTGTGAAATATCCCAACCTAAATCTTGTAAGCTTAAAAATGTGTAGAATTACTTTGCCCTTCAGTGATGTTCATGGCTTCTAAATAAAAACCAGAATGGGCTCACACAGTGGTAATGTCTTATTTAAAACTAAAAACTCTCCACTCTTTCTCCATAACAGGAAATGGCAAGTGATGAGCTGAAAGAAATGCGCAAAAATCTGACCAAAGAAGCTATCAGAGAGCACCAGATGGCTAAAACAGGAGGTACCCAAACTGATCTGTTTACGTGCGGCAAGTGCAAAAAGAAGAACTGTACATACACCCAGGTATGTCGTTATTCCAACTCTTCGTTTTCGTTTTTCAGAGCTGAAGTCCTCTGTAAAGATTATCAGAGAAAAAGAAGATGTAATTATAAAATAAGCTTGTAGCAAAACGCTAACAAATTGCAAAATGCGTGAAGACAGTTGGATCTGCGTAGGTGTGTTTATGTAAAGCGTGTTTGTTGTGTTAATTTACCAAAGATTTTAGAGAAATCCAAGCTGAGTATCTCTATAGTCTGAAACATCAGTTTCTTTGCAGTGCTGAGTTTTTGCTATATTTAATATGGTTTTATGTGGACAAGAGCTAATTTACTATTATCTATAAGCTTTTCTTTACAGAAGGAATCAATAGCAAAAAATTATACATGCAGATATATATATATGCATGTACATAATTTTAAAAGGTATAACCTATGATTTCAGTAAAACTAGACCCTCATTTACAATAATTTCTACAACCTTTTTTCCATTTTAATTGGGAAATATGTTCAAGAAGGGCTTTAGTTTGTTTAGTGGTGCTTCAGGGCATGTAATTTTGATCATAGGATCAGCTGCATTTATAATTTAATATTATGTATCAGATGCATTAAGTAGAAGCTGATTTTCAGTTACGAGACTTTTAAGCTTTTGCAGCAATAAATATACATACAGCTGTATTGAACCTGTAGCCTCCCTGCATAATCTTTTCCTAGAATTATGTGCACAGTTTCTATGCTGAAATTGATATTTTAGTGCTACTAAATCTGTCGGAACATAAGTTTATGATTGCTTTATAGTCTAGACAAGAAAAACCCTGTAGATTGATATGGCATGCTGACTTGTATTTTTATCCTCATGTGTTTCCTTAAGGTTAAACTTTGATTTTAAGCCTTTACATTAAACGCATGGTAGCAAAAGTTCAAGATGCTAATTCTTCTTTTCTGCTCTGGCTCTTGCCCTTGCCAAAGGTTCAAACCCGCAGTGCTGATGAACCCATGACAACGTTTGTTGTCTGTAACGAATGTGGAAACAGATGGAAGGTAAGACTGTCGGGCTGCCCTGCCTATCTGATCGCCAGCAGCCAGGCTCTGTGCTTAATTCTGGATTCCAGCAGATGACAAATGAGTTTCTGCCGACAATTGGTTATTTCTTAGCCTGTTAGTGATATCAGATGTTGATATTGCAAACTAACTTTTAGGTTAGGAAAGTATTTTTGGCTGAAAGCGCGAGATCATGTGAGTAGGGCAGTGGCAAAGGGGGAGAGAAGTCCGGATGTTGACTTGACTCTTGTGATGTTCAGTTACAATATTGCTTTGCCATACAAGGAGGTAGCAAGCTAGTGATAACTTGATTTAACTTTTTTTTTCAACTTCAGGAAATAAGAATTTTAAAAGCTTCTGAGGGTCACTGGTAGTCTGTTAAACTGGAGAAACACGGAAATGAAGGCCTGTAAAATTTGTAACTTAAGATGTGGTAGCATGCGATATGAAGCATGATACCTTCATTCTATTATTTTTCTGTGTTAAGCTCTGCAGAACCGTGTTGCACAGCATATGTTAAGATTACTGCATGGAAAATATTCTTTTAAGCACCTTGGGTTTTGTATATGAATATTGTTTTGTATTTGAATATTGTTCAAATCTATGCTCCAAGATACCTAAATAATTTATAAAGCTTACAAATTGTTTGATGCAGTACCTTGAGCAAACCATTTGTCCTTAAAACCTTCTGTAAGGTGATGGTTACAAAAGTGTCTGTATAAAGATGCTTGAGTAAAGGAACACTTATGATATAAGCAAATAATTTAACTAGTAATTTCCATATCCTATGTATCGTGTCATATTTCTGTTTATTCTTGCAAAGATTTAGAAGTAAGCTGCATGAAGATCTCATAAAAATTCTTTTCTTTTGACAGTTCTGTTAGAAGAAGAAATTGTCAAGACATCTGGACCAGTATGAAAGAGGATTTTGTAATTAGCTTTAAAAATCTAGGCTAAGCATCTAGCTTCCTGCAACTGAGAGGTTTTTTGGGGTTTTGTTTTTTGTTGGTTTGTGTTTTTTTTTTTTTTTAAAGCAGCATAGATGCCTGAAGTTAGCCTTTGTTTTGACACAACCATCATTTCCTTAAATGCCTTCCTATAGCTGATAGTCAGTAGGGCCAGGTTGCTCAATTGTAATGGTGAATGTTAAAATATTTTTTCATTTTTATAAGTAAGTTGACATTAAACTTTTACCAATTAATCATTTTGGTAATTTGCTTGGTTTTTTTCTAACTATGTGAATGATGTACTGTATCTTTTGCAGTCTGCAGTATACATGGTACTCCCATATGTGTTTTACCTCTCCACATTTGTTCAGTTGTAAGGATGGAAACTGTTTCTTGCTGCCGTGTTAACTATTTTTGCAAATAGAAAAGGTATCTAATTTCATTTAATTGCCTTAAACTCAGTTTTTAACTAAATCACAGTTTAGTTAACTCTTTAGTGTGTACCTTCTGTTTCTGAATTAGGACCGAAGTTGTCACAGAGGTTGGAAATTTACTGGTGGATATGGTGACCTCTTTTGCAATGGTTGTTTAAGCTTCTTTATGCAAACAGATTTGATCAATGCAATATATTTTATTGCCCAAAGCATGTATTTTACTTTGTCAGTAGATATTATTTCTAGGAATGTCTTAAATCGGATTTATCCAGTTATTTTGAGTATTCAGTTTTGCTCAATATGCTTGATTGACAACTAAGTTTAGCTTAGACTTTGTAAATAAGCAAAAGCATTGTATTGTAGGCTGTCCTAATAACACCAGCTAACCAATTAATCACAATATAAACTGACTGGGGAGGTATTATTAAATTAATTTCATACAAATAACATTTAATTTTGTTCATGAACTGAGTTTTGAGATGTAAAGTATCGCGTGTCAATCCGAGGTTCAGGTGAGAATGCATTGTCAAGATGACAGTCTTTTCCATATGTGGAATGATACAAATATGACTTTGTTAGAGCCTGCTTCTTAATAGTACATGTGTTTAGAAGTACTTTCAAATGTGCTTTCAAGGAAAAACATGTCGGCATCTTTAGAAGAGATTAAATTCTTTCATTATATTTAAGTTTTATACTTTTTACGTTTTTGAAGCCTGTGGCTGAAGAGGTCTGTCGTGGCAATGTATAAAGGATTCATGGGGAACTGGGAGGAGTATGTGCTGTTCCTGGAGAGTAAACTCCTGGACTGTAAAGGAAAAACAAGATTTTCTATTTTTTAATAATTTTTGTGTGGTAGTGGCAATCATAACAAATGAGTTAGAAATAGTATGATGACACTTGAGTTTTGCAAGACAAGCTCAGAGCAAGCTTTTCCAGTCAGCTTGTGCAAGGAAAGAAAAGTGGCTTTTCTGCTGAGAGGAAAAATTATTAAAATAGAAGTTAAGCTATAAACATTTTTAGGCAGAAAACTGTTCAGCATTTAAAGTTTCTTGCATAACTTTATATAAAAACATTTTAAACTCAGTTTATTTGATATTAATGCCCTAATTCAGAAAAAAAAGATTTTATTCTACTAACAGAATGAGTTTATTTTTAGCCTTTGTGTAGGTCCTTTGGCAGGATTGCTTAAGAATTACTTAAAGGTGCCTAACTGGCCTGTTTGGTTTTTTTTCCAGTTAAGACAACAACAAACTAATGACAGACAATTAATGTCAATTACAGTCTTTGTTTGAGGACCCTTCTAAAGGAACAAGTCCAAAAGTTTGTGTTTAAAATGATTGAAAATTGGATGCCAAGTAGATTTAAATTTCTGCTGCTGTTCATAGTGTATATATAGTGCACAGACAGGTTGGTTTGCACAGCCTTCCTCACACTACGTGTCCTTTAATCTTTTTGCTTAATTGTGACACTTAGGAGAATTACCTTTTGAGAAAATAGAGGAACTGTCTTTCTGTACTTACCGAATTATATCTGTACTTTATTAAAAGGACTGGAACTGTGATAGCTCTTTCTGTCATGTAGGTGTATTCAAGTAGGAGTACAAATAAAATATTATTTCACCTAATAGTTAGCTTGAGGCTGGGCAACAGCCTCCACCCTTTCTCTCTTCTGTCTCCAAGGTGAAAAGAATGTTTTCTTTCTTGTAGTGAAAGTTGAAGTCCATAACTAAATCCAGAAAAGATCAAGTTCTGTTAACACTTCATAAAACTGCCTAGCAGTGAGCTTTGGATGGCACCTCTGTGCAAAAGATGCCTTTTGAAGGTGTCTCAAACTGCCTTCCCCTATTGGAGTGAGTGCAGAGTCCGAGTGATGTAGAGGAGGGGAATGCAGAGGTGGGGCTGGGACTGTATCTCCCTTCCCCAACTGGCTGGCCTATCTCCTGAGCTGCAATCAGGCTATGACTGACCCAGTACGTTTGGATATTTTGTGCAATGAAACGTGTTGGTGATGAGTCTCTCCCATCCAAGAATAGTAGATTTTGTTATGACCTTTATGGACGTTTGAATCCTCTCAGATGAAAGACTGGAACACAGTTGCCCTATGAGTTAAGCTATTTTTTTACATGGATCTAGTACACACAAAGGGGGCCGTGCTCCCTCAGAAGTGAGAGAGTGAGAGTGAATGTGAGTGTGTGTGTCTGTGTGTGTCTCTTTAAGGCTGTTGTCCTTCTGTGAGGAAGGGTAGATGTTTGTGCTGCTCAGAGAACATAGCTTCCAGATCCTTCATTAGAAGGCATTTCCTTGCATGTAATTATGAAAACTTGCTCAGGAAAAAAGCGTGGGTCTTCAAATATGCTGTACAGAATGATTCTTTTTGACTAGCACTGAGCATTGGCTCAATGATCTTGGCTTTTGTGAATGCCACTTTGAAGCCGTGTTGCCCTTTCCAGGCATTGCGAAGGAAGTGCCTGGTTTTTATCCGGAGTTCAGGATTCCTCTGGTAGTCACATATGTGAAATTTAAATTGAAGCTTCATACCCATACCAGATTAGGTAGGACTTGAGTTCATCATCATGAAGTCTTTGTTGTGCAAAAAGTGACTGTGTTGCCTTTCAAATATGTGTCTTTTTGAAATCAATCACAGAATTGCTGAGGCTAGAAAATACCTCTGAGATCATCAA